TCATACCCTGTATTTACAGAGCGTAACTAGGACAATACACCGTTTTCATCTGCAGCGTATCCGCCTCCGCGCTCACTACCTATGTATCCTTGGCGCAGATCTCTTCCAGTCAAGGCTAGCGCGTCTTGCGCGATGCGAGAGGTCGCTGAGGACTGCGCAGGGGTGACGTGCTCTTGGCGACGTCCCACAATCCACATGTGAGTCCCCGAACTAGAACGGATCTTTACAGGATCCGTCAAGTCGCGAACGTGTGAGCGCTGTTGACGAAGGCAGTTTCGCCATCAACGCCTGTCAAGGATTGGCTGCGCGTCTCGCCGGTCCTTAAGTGACAGTGGTCTTCCGACTGGTGGTCGCGGAGCGACGCGCTGGACACGTAGCCGTGTTACTGTTGGTCACAGACAAACAAGTTCAATCGTTGGGGCGCGACTTCACGTTCAGTTTGCAAGCCGGCTCTGAGACCTGTATTCGACTGGCTCAATAGCAAAGTGTCTCATGTATACTCCTGAGCACAGATATCAATGCGGGCTCAAGCATCGATGAAGTAAGCCTCACGCCAGCGGCAGGACGGCCGCCGCGCTTCTCCGGTGATCGCCGAAGTTGGTTGAGAATTGCAGCCCGCCTGTTCGGGACTCACAACTCAACCACGACCACGAGCATCAAGCCTTCCGCTGCCACACGCTGCGTATTGACCTCTGCGACTGTTTGTCGTAGCTCAGGTCAGCTCGCGCGTCAGAGACGGATGGATAATCCAAGGTCGGGACATCTCGCAGTGAATAGAGTATGCGCCGTACTGACGTCTGGCCGTCTACGCCAGGACTCGCCAACTCGGCATCAAGCAACAGCCAAGTTTACTCTTCTCATCTTCTCATTTGAATGGCGGGTCTCCATCTTCCTGTACCCCTAGACGGTATGCACGTTATCGTCCAGTTCCCCAGACTCGTCGGTGCTCACGCTGCACGCACACTCAGGTCACACCGACGACGATTATGAACATTGACTTGCTTCGCTTCTGCATTCCATACCCGCCTCGGGGACCGGTTGCCTTCTGGACTTCTTGCGATTCAACGGGTCTGCGTGCACCTCAACATTTTCCCGAGGCAGCGTATACGGCTGCGCAGTACGCCAGGCCTGGCCGGCTCTCGCCTGGCTTCGCGTCGCATCCGCCCCGCGCCCCTACGCTGCAAAGGATACACCGCAAGACCTGCATGGTATCTCAGCGCTTCAGAAGCTCGAGCACTCTATCATGGCCGGCTTGTATCGTTCAGTAACCGCAGTTGTGAGTTCGTACGGTGTGCTGAACCTACACATTACTCACCTCTTTCTTGCAGTATCTCCGCATGAAGCCTACCTGCACAGGTCATCGCCAATCAATCGCGCTGTCGGCGCTAAGATCCCGGGTGGACCCTGCACAGCCAACTGACAGGTTGTACCTGATGCGATCAGATTTCGATGGCACTTGGCCGGAGTATACATGTCCGGTTCGCGCAGTGTATGCGTACAGCGAAGGCGTAGATGCTCGCAGGCCATCGTCAGTGCTCTTGTTCGATGTATGTGACGACGTCGTTGCTGATTGACACTCCGCAGGGGCCGCACTGACATCCTCTCGCCATTGCTGCTGCATGGCATAGGTCTATGACGTGATGTGAGAGACACCACTGTGTCGTCTCTGAGCGGAAGGGTTCGCTTTATGGCGTCTACGCGTCCGCATCCCGTATGTATACCACATCTAATCGTACAGCGATGCGGCATTGACCGTATTGTTTAGATCGTCTCGTACTCACGGCACCTGACATTATGTGGACGGGTCGACGGGCATACCGGCCAGAGCTACTTTATTGTCATCGGTACCCTAGTTATCGGCAACGGTGCCGCATTACGTGGCGGACTGTACGCAATACGTTTATTGGACTCCCCATGCGGCAATTGTCTCGGTCGCCGCGACCAGCCGTGCGGCGCATTTGGTGCAAGACTCGGCGGCGCTCTTTCGAAGCGGTCGGTCTTACGGTCCGCGTATACGTCACACGCGGCTGTTGTGGATGGCAGCGTCACGCGCGGGTGCGAGCAGTCCAGGTTCTACGCGGCGGCGCCCAATGACCACAATCCGTCAAATCACGTTTTACATGGCTGGCGCAATTT